GCTTTGCTGGCAAAGAAGTTTCTTGATAAATCAGGAGTAGAGGGCGTCCATTAATGACTTACCAGAATGAGTATATCTTAAATTATTCATGAAACGGAAGGCTGAAAATTCAATGAGGTCCGAGATCATCGGAAAGGAAAGGGTTTTGGCGGCAACAGAAAATAAGTTTTAGTCTGGTTTAATGACTAACATTTTTTTTCGTGCTAATTGGTCAAGGTCTCGCGACCCAAAATTCGATGGCCAAACCGAGATTTTAGTTGATCCTACCCGCGGGTCTGATCGGGCCGATCGGGCCGGCCCGCAGCCCGCTTAGGCCTCAAACCTCGGAACACCACGTTTTTGGGTTCGTCTTTTTTCAAAGCGGATCTGCCGGCTCTGTTGAGGCTTCCACCTGACGTCCCATGACGTGAATTTGGTGCTGCCCTGTTCCTTGCTCTCATTGTTCACTACGTTCCACTGGTTGTTCCTTGCCCGAGAGTTACGTCAGTTATGAATGTGATCGCATCGTGCGCTGACGGAACGAGGAGTCCTGATTGCCAGCAGCTGTAAACGGTTCGAGAGAGACTCCTCTGAGTGTATTCTAACGTATTCGCCTGCACCCAGCATGAGACTCGATTGCCAACCAATCCGCCGATCGCAGTTACCTGATAAAGCTCATTCCCAATCCCTGCGGACCTCGAAATCATTCGAATGAGACGAGTCTCACTCCGTCGGTGGATCTCGCTGTATTGATTTATTGTATTGGGTTTTTTTGGGGTTCAAAGTCAAAGTCAATTAGGGGCCTCTGCTGACGGAAGAATCTCGCATACTCCAGCTCTTCATTAATGACCTGAAAGGAGTATGGCCAATATAATGTTATTTTGGCCCTTAATCAGAATTCAACTTGTCATATATCATTTGAAAGGGTGTCCTTTGCAGAGTAGTAAAATACCACTTTTACTAAAGGGTTTGATGAAATTAGGTTAGGTTAGGTCATGGTAGGGCATGTAACGATCCAGTAATTTTGCATGAGATTTTTTCATCAGAACACATACGTTTTAAGGCGTAGGAACTGCAGACTGTCAAGAAAAAAAACTATGAATACAAGTGAATTGTATTTTGTAAAATCTTAGTATATCTAAGCACCATTTACTTTCGTGAATCATACAAGCATTCTTGCTAGATTTTCCAATTCCGAGCTGAAGTTTACAGATTACTTTCAAAATGATGTTCTTTCTAAGTTGTTAGAATGCGGAATGTCATGTATTGGAAGTCCCAAGTGAAAGCAGGAAAATCATTTAACCTAACGTAACCTAACTTTTTGAAACGATTTGGAAGAAAATTATATATTCCTCATTAACGCGTGAAACCGGTTGCATGAATATTAATTTCATAAAAATCGGTTTAAGGCCAAAAATGGGCTAACCTAACCTTAACCTAACCTTAACCTAACCTTAACCTAACCTTAACCTAACCTTAACCTAACCTTAACCTAACCTTAACCTAACCTCACATTTTCAAGCTACTCAGATTTGAAAAAAGATTTGCATTTTTAGGTTTGCTAAGGATACCCTCTATAAATATGCATATATATTTGAAAATCTTTTAATGGCCGAAACTGGGCACACTCCTTTGGTGGTTGAACAAATCCTGCAAAATGCCTCAATCGAATGCTATTCCACTGAATTCCATTTGCCATAATCATCCGTGAATATTTCACAGGTTACGTCTTCCTGCCTGAGGCTTGCGCGGGTCAAATTTTTCGAAACCGACACGATTGGTGAAAACTACATCGTCGAACCGAACTTTATGGATCCCCCCCTCGGGTCGTGTCGGGCCGATCGCGCCAAACCACGGCCCACTTACACCCCTGAGTTTAGAATTTGGGGTCTCTGGGTTCGTCCTCTTCTAAGCGGCACTGCTGATACATCCAGTTTTCCCATGACGTCACGTTCATGTGGGCCTGTCGCGTTCTCAATGTTCACTGCGTTCCGCTGCCTGCTGCTTGCCCGAGGGTGACGTCATTCAATGACGTGATTTCTTCGAGTGCTGACGAACGAGGTGGTCATTTTTGCAAATAATATTTTTTGGCTGCGTAGTCGCCTGCACTTACCAGAAAACTTGATTCCTGACCGAGTTGCCGGCATAATTCGTCAGTTCAATGGAGTTAAACATTGGGGACTAAAAAGGGAAATTTGAGATCTATGAGAATGGGAAGCATATTCTTTCCTTCGTTTGACACATGAAAGTTTTGAATTCATACAAGTTGTCCTATTTGATTGTTATAGTACCAAACCTGTATTTTGATATATAGAGTAATTTTGGGATATGTTTAAGGGAGGGGCCGGAGGGGAATGGCGGGGCGCACGCAATATTATTGATTGGAAATATGGCTGTTGAGAATTCCAGCTAGGTGTTTCATTTATTTTAAAAAAATAGAAATCCATTATTATTAAATACGAATACGCGAATGTTTCATGTGTACCTGCTAATGATGATTAATTAGTCATCATTACCAGGTACCTGTGCTAATTTGCTTGAGCCTTTCAACGTTACAAGGTTCCTTTGAACGTTTGGAGGCATCAGATGAATGCCCTAGTGCACACATTTCAGGAAGAGATGAGATGATTTCAATTTTTTGTCTGATTCAGTCAAACGGATACACATGGAATGCTGAAACATGACATGCCCGTACCTACTGAGACTCTGAGTTCAGGAAAAATGTCAAGTTTCGGATACATGCTCTGGGGGCATATTTCTCGGGGGATGTGTTTCAAATATGTTCTTTTTGTCCACTGAATTGTACAGAGATAGACATGTGCATCTTGGCACAGCAATAACTGAAGTGATGAGTTCAGAAAAAATCAAGATTTGGGGTATACAGTGGATGTACCGTGATTTACAGATATCCTGAACTTTAAGGAAATGAAGGATATTGGTGTCGCTCGATTGCTATTAGCCTATGGGGCACATGCACTCTTATTTGGTGAACCTGATTAATAATTACTTCCTCCTTGTGGTCCGCACGCAGTGGCACTCAATACTATTGGTGAACCTGAAAATTGTTTTAGATTAAAGCTGAGAGAGAGAGGGGGAGAGAGAGAATGAGATAGAGCAGGTAAATCCGGGCAAGCAGGCATCCCTAGAATTTTCTAAAATTACCAAGTTTGTTTTTTTTTTTCACATGCCATTCAGGTCATGTATGATACATTGCCATTCTCACCACGACAACATGGACAACATGGGCTCTTCTCCAGCTGGTATATTTTTTTATTTTACGCGCATCGGGAACCCGCGTAAATAAATAAAAGTCCCGCGCTCCACTCGACTTCTTTGTCATTTAGGGGAAGCAAAGCCCTGTTTCAGTTTCCTTCACTGGCCTAATATAACGTTTTACATGCTTAGATGGTAATGCTTGTGCTCGTGGGCCTCCATTCATAAGAACGGGGGGGGCCTAGACTCGCAAAAAAATACGCAACTCAGCTGGGTTTCGAATTGTGGTTCCCGTCACGGGAGCCCGATGTGCTACCACCGAGTTGATGACTTAGCTTGGCTCTTTGCGATAGTATATGCCGTAACATCCCGAGTTTTAATCGCAAAGCGACAAAAAAGAAACTTTTAACTTTCCGAGGTTTCATGCTTTCCATCGATACCGGATTCGCTCGGATACGATGAGCGGGAGAGGAGTTCCCGGACAAACAGGCAGACAAACAACGGTATTATATATACCAGCATTACCCGTCACATTGTGATGATACCTGTATATTGGTTTATTCGAGTTGAGATGCACATCATCATTTTGTATGCTGCGGAAGACGTGGATGGAAAGTAAACGTATTTGAACGGATGTGAAAGATCTCTTGAATCAATGTAATCATTTTCTCAGTTGTATACAAATATTTGTACAGGAGTAAAATTTGTTCAGAGCAACTAAAAATCAATACTATGTACCTAAGAACCTCCCGGTAAACGAAATTTCGGGCAAGCACTTCATCCCGATCGTCATATCGTCGCCCCTCCTTAGAAACCTGGATGGGACATCGATCGGCATATACCTTGACATTTTGTGGGTCTCCCAGTCGACTCATGGCAACAAACATGTATCCACGAGTGAAAAAAATACAGTATTGAATCAAAAGGAAAGTAGAACTCGGAAAATCCGGAATTCAAATAGTATGCAAACTTTTCGAAAGAAATAATACAATGTTTGGACAGTTATTGAACTATATGATTTGAAAATTCTACGCTTGATTCCTTTTTAATCCCAGTTTTATTTGCATTCTTTTGGTGGAAGTTATCGTATACTTCCAATTCTTAGAAATAAAGAACTCAAAAGTTCCGCAGCCAAATTTCCATATAAGAGCATGCGTTTACACATTCAAAAACGATATTCAGTATATCTTTGACGGAGGACGACAATGATATAAATCCGATTAATAAATGCCATCAGTGCAAAATATGCAATCTGCTAAGTGTATTTTCGGGGCAAAAAATGAGCAAGCCACTCCTTTCATTTTTTTTAAATTCAGAAATCGTGTTTCATTTAGTATGTTGATGTTAACCACCTAGTCAGTGGGGCTTGCCGAAGTTCACCTTCACAGGCATCTCAGGCGGTGACAGGCCGTTATCCATTAGTTCAATGGGCATTCCAAGGCGCATTTTAAAAAGATGTAGTTGGGAAAAAAAGTAAAATAATGAAGATATCATGTTCTCATCCATGATGAGTTCATTTGTTAATTTTTTCTCTTGGCCATCCTATTTTTCTAGAAACGTGTAAGGCAACTTCGATGTTATTTTGTACTAGCGAGTCCGTTTTCCCTACGGACAAACAACCTCGCTATAATCCCTACTTCGGGCGCTCCATTACCTTGGATGGTGATTAATTTATCTATTCTTTGCGACACGGCGAACATGTACTTATAGTACTTCCCAATTGAAATATCTGACTTGTGCGAACGAATGTCTTGATTTTTCTGAAAATCATTACTTCTGATTTCTGGTGTACCTAACTTGAAATCTTTTCATGTGTCCTGTAAGGGTGAAGAACGCAATTTCAAATACTTCCCTCCCATAATATACGCTAAGGAGACGTATTTCAAAAGTATGATTTTTTCTGTACTCAGCCATCAAATAGGTACTTCTGATGAAAGTTTAAATTTTCTCTCTCTGTTTCGTTGGATGAAAGAAAATTCAGGAAAATGGGACAGAAAAAGAGTGCCCTGATGCCTTTCAACGAAATGTTTTATTTGAAATATAGGTTCAGGGAACGCCATGCCACCCAGTTTCAGCCTTATTCGTTTCCCTTTTTGCTGGCGGAAAAAAAAAGTAGTTGGAAAAGCTACCCACCCAAAAGCTGTGCTCTGAGGAGACGCACATAAAAAGGTGAAGTTTTCCTTAAATCAACATCACGTCCGTTATGCGTGCGCCAGTTACTTCTCCATTTCTGCCCGATTCGACAGGATATGAAAAATTCATCGAAAACGTTACGTCCCCAATAAATATGAACCCCAAGAATAATTTGGAAATTTGACGTTTGACATTTGAGCTTAGTGGGTCAGCGGTCACGTATTTGAAAACTTTCAGCTTTCCATGTGTCTCCATTTGATTGAAGCAAAGAGATCTATTTGAAAACATGTTCCCCGAAAGATGTGCATATATCAGCAAAGTAGAATTTTTCTTGAACTCAGCATGCGAATAGCTACTTATGTCTGTGAGTGAGCTACTCGATCGTCTACATATAAGTATACTTTTTTCTCTACTCATTAATCCATCAGGTACTTATTTGCCAAGTTTAAAGTTTCTAGCACCCTTTGTTTAGCTGGATCAGATAGTTTGGGAAAATACGCCTTTTTGCAAAATATGTGCCCTGACCCGTTTTAACCGAAATGTAACTTTTTCTTCTCGCCGAAATCCATCCTCAATGAGCTTAATGCCCACAAAGTTTCAGTATTATATGTTTGCCGTTTTCGCTGGTGAAAAAACCTGTTTGGAATAGCCCACCCACACAAAAGATATGCCCGGAGGGGATGCACCATGATAGCTGACTATCCCCTCAACTCAATAATACAATGTCACTTTTGCGTGTGTCAAGCTTCACCTTTCTTTTTCTGTCCAATTCGCCAAAACAATTTTTTTTTTCAAAACATCGCCCCTCGAAAAAATTCCCCTGGGGATGTATCGAGAATGAACATTTTTATTTAGCTCTTTTTCTTAGTAGTCACATTCATGCATAGTTTCAGCATTCCATGTTCAGTTAAACATCTACAAAAAAATTAGTCGAAAACACCTCCCTTTTAAATGTGTGCCTCCATGGCAGTTACTTCTAAAGTCTGAAGTTTTCTGCAGCATCACAATAGGCAATTATGTACCAAGTTTCATGTTTCCACACTAGCTCAATACGCCAGGAGAAAAAAAAAAAACTTGAAAATGTCGACTCGCAAAAATATCCCCCCAGGGCATGGACTTAAAGTTTTTCATTTTTCCTGAGCTCGTCGTCTCGGTAGTCACATCCATGCCAAGTTTCGGCTTTCCATGTCTCTCCGTTTTACTCAAGCAAAAATAATGTTAAGGTATTGGAATGAGTAACGGGACATTGGAGGCGAAAAAAGCCAAAGGAAAGGACGGAAATTGAACCCAGACCTTCTGTTTGCCTGTCAGAGATGCTACTTCTTCACCACCGAACCCAGTACATCCAGGTGACACTCTGAATGCCATCCTCATCTGTCATAAAATATACTTAAGAAAAACGTTTCCCCCCAAAATTTGTACCCCCAGGGCATGTACCACCAAAGTCAGAGTTTTTCTGAACTCTACATCCCAAAAGGTACTTTTGTACCAAATTTCAGATTTCTAACCTTCAGAGTTTCAGATTTCTAGAACGTGTTAGAATTAGCGTCAGTCAGTCAGTCACGATCGTCTATATATATTAGATGCCTTGGTATATCTGGACTGGCACACCTTCCGGGAAGCCAAGTACTTCATGCCCTCGGCGATCTGAAAGGCCCAGGAAATCAGATCGCTGGTGGTCAAAGCAATATTGGGCTTCTCACTTGACCTGAAAAAAATAAATGTTGTATTTAGCTGAAGGTGACTCGTTGCCTCCAATGGATGAGAAAAAGTACTCACGGTATCGGAATGTCCCGTTTTATCTGCCCCGTCTCACTGTCAATCTGATTGATGAAGCAGTCTGCGTGCGTTCTGAGATAACCATCGAGGCTTCCAAATGGACAATACTCCACAATGACCATCAAATTTCCTAAATTAGCAAGCGATACCTTTGAGAATCATCAAACGTCGCATCAAACTTGGGTGTTCCGCCTTGAAAACGTGCAAAATCCGTCATTTTCATAGGAAGATATGAGTACTTGTTTATGTTTTCATGTCTTCGATGCATTTGGTGTCCTTCCTTCAGAGGTGTAAGCAAATTAATTCACTTTGACTTCAAAAATGTGCAATTTGAATGCTAAATCTTTCCCTAGAGACACATAACCTGGGAGTGGAGCAAAATGATGGAATGTATATTACTGTGCACTATTAGCAATAGGCTTGGATGGGAAAGAGTTTGGAAAACGATCCTTGACGTAGGCATTCGTGAAGAACAAAGTGAGCAGAGAAAGTGTTCAGTGAAAATGCGATTTATGTAGAGTCGGACGTTCCGCTTCCGATGAGAAAAGACCTGACAATCCTAAGTGAAGATCCTATTGGATCCTATGAGATTTTTTTTTTAATAAAAATAGTTTACGATTCTTATATGAATCCTATAGGGTTTTTACAGGATCCTATAGGATTATTCTTGGATCCTATATGATTTTTCCATAACGGAACTGTTTCAGGGATCTGGTTTCTTTCTCTGTGAAGCCATTATTGAAATTATCGACGAAGCCATCACAGTAAAGTGTGAAGTTAGTTCGATGCAATAAATCCAAAACGAGAAAGGTGACGGCTGTGTCTCTCTTCTGCAAAATACGTCAAGTATGTGTAAAAAGCTGACCGCGGGCCATATCTTTGGTACAGGCTCCCAGTAGGTTCACCACATTCAGGTGCCTGCCGAGGTGACACATGATCTTCAGTTCCATCATTAAGGCGAGGTAATGCTCCAGGTTGCAGTGATGGTGCCTCTTCTTCACGGCCACTGTCGTTTTCTGTTCCTGAGGATGGATACCAGCAGCGACGGCCTTCATCACGACTGCGAATGCCCCATGACCGAGTTCGTCCCCTGTGGCGGGAGGTAAAGTCGTCGTGGAATGAACGGTTTCATCAAGATTTGTCAACAGTTTACTTAGATTCTTATTCAAAGGCTTGCCCAATGTCAGTTTTTCTTGTGCAAATTCCCAGGCCTTGTGGTAAGGGAGAAGATGCGCTTGTTCGCTGAGTCCCAAGGCGGGATTTATTTTATTAGGTTGTCCTTTTTGGAAATTTTCCAAATCTTCCTTTGTCACTGCGATGTTCAGCGCCTACGAGTGTCATGGAATCGTGCTCCAATACAGTAGATTAATGGTGAGGGCTCATCCAATCATTCAAATGTATGAGCATGACTCACTCGCTCTTTCCTGAACCGATAGTAGGAGATGGAGCCCACAATGAGACCCACAAGTGAAATGACAGAAGCGGAAGTTGCTGCTATGCCAGCTGTCGCATCTGCCCCACCTACCATGATAGAGATGATAATTAAAATGAACTCTGATATGGAAACCCGATGCAATAACCACGTATATGAGTATTCGAATGAAACTGCAACCGAGTCCGAGTAAAATTAAAAGCAAAACACTTCAGAGATGCTGTTATCGGGCACTCACTATATTGCAATTGAAATCAAGCTGAAAATTACAACTGGAGGAAATAGAACCCTCGTCGGCTCACTTTTCACGCTGAGCTGGAATGAGACCGTCTGTCTATTCCGTCCGACTATCCCTTCGAGTTCGTGGGGACCCTCGTCTTCGAGCGAGATGTTCTTGATCTCGAGGCTGGCGCTTTTCAAGCCTTTCTCGACGGTATATTTCGGTCCAGTGGAGAGTTCCAATCCGTTGCGTTTGAAGACGAGCTTCGGCTTGTCATTGGCATCTGCCTCCACCTCCACCTCCCAAATAATGCTCTCTCCCACGCTCGCAATCCCCTCGGTCGTTCGCGGCGTCAGCTTCAGTGTCGCCTCTGGATCATCACACGCTGGGTAATGGTCTGGTCTCAGAACAGGATGCGATATGAACATGAGAAGCTCACCTCGAACTGTGATTTCATGTGTGGACTCCTCGGTGCTCTCAAAGGCTGTCGCAATGCAACGATATGGACCTGCGTCGGCGTCTGTGGCATTGCTTACGATGAGACGCGTCATTGGCAAGCCGTTGCTGTAGTCTTTTTGTCTAATTCGCCCTTCCTGTTGTCGGTGTCAAGCAGAAAATATAATTATTCCATCTGAAGAATGGACTATTGGCTTGCATGAAATTAAAATCATATCCCACATTCTCTGGTCCTGGATGAATCCAACTCAATTGTACTCTCTCACCATTCCCAGGCACGGAGACGTTGCACCAGAGAATGAATTGAGATCCAAGTATCGCTTCCTTCGGTCCGTGTATGGCGGGTGGATTCAACCGACGGCTTGCATCTAGAGATCCATACATGAGGATCATATGAATTTATAGAGTTAAAACTCTTGTAATTCATCACAAAAACCATAAGACACCTACAGTATGACATGAGAAATAAATAAAATTATATAGTTCATTTGACAAACTTGAGGAATTTGTACCCTCTGAATTTCCGGAGTTTCATGGCAGGCATTGAATCAATGAGAATTCACATAATGATACGTGCTACTTAAGTCGAAGCTAAACAGAAGCAAATAATACTTTTGGAAAACGTGGCGAACAAAATACCTAACAAAATGACATTACCATTAGCAAACATATCAGACATATGCAGTGTGATACAGGGAAATCTAAACTTACTTCATATTTGATGAAATGTACAAGTGATTTTAAAACGAAGGAAAGGAAATTTGGCAATTGTTATCTGCCATTCCATTTATTGATTACAAATGAGTTTGTTTGCCCTTCGGGTTACCAAACTCGGAATGGTCGCACTTCGGTGCGTCTTTGTCCAGGATAGTAATACATTCATTTTTTTTTATCAATAGGGGCAAGAACCTTTACAAGTTACGTGCCTGTCGAATTGTGTGGCATGAGCGGATGAACTGATATTCGATTTTATCGAAATAATCACTCTGATTATTATGGGCCAAACATCGAATCTCTTCACATTCTGCCCTGAGGGAGCATATTTGAAAAGTGGGATTTGCACTCAGGAATCAAATACTTCTGAGCCAAGTTTCACCCTTCATAAGGTCTCTTTAATTGGATCAAAGAAGATTCGGGAAAAAGGCGATTTTAAAAAAATTCTCGCATGGGGTTAATCTAAAAAGTGATATTTTCACTGAAATCAGTACTTGGAGAACTATGTGCCAATCAAGTTTCAGCTTTATCCGTTGGTTCTTTTCGCTGGGGGAAAAATATCTTCAGAAAAGACGGTATGGCCAAAAGCTGCGTCCTGAGGGTATGCAGAACAAAAGTAGACCTTTTTCTGAACTCACCGTCACGTCGCCAAGTTTCGTCTTTTCATTTCCTTTAAATTCTCTAGGGCAAAAAAAAATATTTGAAAACGCCACTCAAAAAATATACCCCCAGGAAAAGCATGGAAATCTTGACATGTTTTCTCAACTCCTTGTCCGAGTATTTACATTCATGCGAAGTTTCAGTTTTCCATGTTCCTCCGTTTGACTGTGGAAAAAATATTCCTTAAAAATAATCTCCCAACATAATGTGTACTTCTGGGCATGTACCTCCAAAGTCTTATTTTTCTTAACTCTGCATCGCATTATGTTCTTCTTCATCGAAAATCAGACTTCTTCATTCTTCGGAACATGCATAGATTAAAGTAAGTCAGTCAGTCACAAGCATCAATACACTCAACAGAAACATGACGACCACCCCCCTCCCAAACAGTATAAAGTGGACTATGCCATTAGAATAAAAGCACGTCGGGGCGAATGCAGTCACGAGTTGATGCGTGATAGTCGGTGCATCTAGCATAAAGTGTTACATATGAGCATCATGGGAAAAGGCCACGATATGAACGATTTTGAACGAGGCGTTATTATGTAGGAGGATTATATTCCAATATCCAATGAGTTTATATGTTAGATAGAAACCAATCCCTTCTTACATTTGCAATAAATATATACTCGCAAGTTTTAAAGGAAAGGATTTGAGCCACATTCCCAGAAATTTTAGCAGGAAATGTGACCACACAGAGAAAAGCGAACAATTTCACATACCTGTATATGTTAATGTAGGTCGGACCATATACTGAACAGCTAGGAGTAGAATACTAATTTCACTTTTCTGAAGAAGTGCCATCACATTATTCGTCATGAACTTAGCTTAGTGAATTCGAATGTGAGGTCAGAGGTAAACTTTCAGGTAGCCTTTTTGTGCCAGTGGATCTCCCATCTGGGGATTTCTGTGTTCGCCTTCAAAGGTGCCAAGCCCTTTAATATCCCTACCTCTCAGTACATAACCCTCAGCATATTTTCAGATGCTTCTTCATCAGCTTAAGTTGCCTATCGGAAGATCCAAATGTGCTTAGGAGGAAAAAATGTCCTAGTAGACGAGAGACTGGTGAGAGCGGATAGCTCAAAGGAAGTGTATAGGAGGGAATGAACGATAAGGCATGTCCTTCTCCCTTACATCCGAAGGAACCGGATTTGGTTCCATGATAATTTGCAAGGGAAGCTTTCCTCGCTGTCGTCGTATCTGCTTGCTTGCGAAATGAAGAAGGAGCGCCATTGAATTCAATGGTGCGAGGATCGCTCCTTCAGCCAGTGGCTAGAGCTTAATGGAGATCGTAATTTCACCCTCGCATTAACCATGGGCTACTCCATTGAGTTTCAAATGAGGGTGAAACTTGTCGATTGTTGCTCTAAACTTTACATTTTACTTCATCCAGAACGTTCCTTTGTATCAATAAGTTCGCATAATAAACGAGTATGTGAAAAATCGTGTACATGTAAATGAAACCGACTCATTAGTGAATATCTTGAAAGGGTTATTTGAGGAAATACCGTGATAATAACTCATAACGAACAGCTTTGCGTTGTCAAAAGGGGAAAAAAGGGGGAAAAGGGAATCATGCATTACAAAGCCTAAATTGCTTTGAACATGACAATCGCCGTTGTCTGTCGGCAATTTGCACTCATCTAAGTCTCTTCTTCTGGATATATGAATAGACGTACTGGACATCTGAACAAAATACGCACTACATGTGGGGGCCGTGCATGAGGATATGCTCATGCACAGCCTCCTGGACATACACATCGTCTGACATATTCCAGAAATTTTCGTGGCACGAAATCTGACTGCAAGTAAATATCCCTCGTACAAAACGTTGAAATGGCTTATTATGATTTTTTGGCATTTTTTATCCATGCAGGCAATAAAAATGCAGCGTTTTTCCTTCAATATAATACCTCATATATTGCACTTACTGTATGGCACATGTTCACATTAATTTGCGATTCATCATTCCTCTCACACCCACGGCTTCTAGATATCCAATCCCAACCTGGTGCAATGCTACTGAAAAACAAGATCGTTTCAATCCTGTTTTTCACAACTGGTCCTTGCGTAAGGAAATGATGTGAAAGGGAAAATTTTGGGCCGTTTTTTCCTAATTTTTTTCTCGCAGATGGGTCAAAACATATTTGTAGTAAGCCTGGTTAACTGTCTGGCCTCGTGGGACAAACCCATGATGCATCAGGCTTTGAATGCGAAACAAAGCAATCAACATTATTTTGACATCCGAGCGAACCTAGCGACCGTTTTTCGGTCGAGGCGAATTTGCTGTCTTCCACTGAGATGATTGTGCTTTGGTTTCGGGGTCATAACCGTAGACCCATGTTTCTTCACCAGTGATGATAGAGTTGATGAAGTTTAAGTCGTTTTCAACTCTTTGTGCTCGGCACAGACTTCTTGGCGATGGTTCTTTTGATCGTCACTGAGATTTCTTGGCACAAACCTGGCTGCAACCCTTCTCATGCCAAGAATGTCGGTGAGAATTGATTGGCATGACCTATACGAGATGCCAACCTCTTCTGCTAGCTCCCTGATAGTCAAGCGACGATCTGCTTGGATTCTTCTGCCGCACTTACACAACATTTTCGTCACTGCAAGACGTGGAAGGCCTGCCTGGACGTGCATCATCCTTCACTGAGCCTTCCTTGAAACGTCTAATCCACTCGTAAACGATGTTTCGACTCAAACTCTCTTCCCCATCAGCTTTTTTTGTAACATTTCACAAATTTCCGCTCCAATTTTCTCATTTTTCACATAGAATTTGATGCACACTCGCTGCTCATCTTTTCTATCCATCGAAAATCCGACGAAAGAGCATAGAGTCGACAGGATTTCAACACTCGTGATTCGCGTCTGGTTAATCCTAGCCTAAATCCTAGCCTAATCCTAGCCTAATCCTAGCCTAATCCTAGCCTAATCCTAGCCTAATCCTGGCTTCAACATGCGTGAGGTTACCCCCCCCTACTCCCAACTACATTAGTCCTAGCCCCCTACCTAAAACTGTTTATTTTTTAACAAGAAAGTACTGGAACATTTTGATCAGACCTCGTATTCCACTTAATTCTGATTTCCAGCATTCAACTGTCTCGTTCGATTTTCCCCTGAATCGCTTTTGACTATGATTTTAAACTGTCAGTAGCTATTCATGATGAGACATCTGATCACTTGATGATTAGATTAATAATGACGTCAAATCCAAATGCTTATGCATTCGCATATACGCCGTTGTAGTTTACTTTCACCATATGGAGCATGACTTTCTGAAAATTTCCAACATATAGTCAAGGGACTCATTTCAATTCCAATGACTTATTTGAGTTCCTTATTTTCAGATTTTACCAATTAAGCGGTACACTTTCCCCTGTTTTTTAGTTAACAAGGTAAAACGTTTCTCGCGAAGCAAATAATTATTTAATGCACCAGGGAATTCAATTTCTTTTTTACCTGCCGCTTCGTAAAGATTTGAAGAACACACCATAGGCAGGAATTTCTTTTTACGTTTTGGCTTCATGAATGAATATATAATTCTAGGAAATAAATATTTCTGAACGATGAAGACTAACCTGATGGAGAGACGACAGAGCCCAGTAGTACGACGACGATTGGCGTCAGAGTAACCATCGCAGATGACTGCACTCAGAGTTTCCACATATCGGCGCGTTCAGGATCCAGATGATCCGACGTTGTCGCAATTTAGCACTTGCCAGTCGAAGGACACTTCAAGTTTGATTGCATTTCGGTGAATTTCTACACGCCGTGATCCAGTGAGTAAATTAAGGTTCTTGTAGATGGAAGCGGGAAGCCATGAAGCTGGTAACTTCCTCTGTGCTTACGTTTTTTTCTCCTTTCAGACGAGACATTTCATGAACAATTTATATGAGGGGCCTCTAAAAAAAAATTAGTGGTTTCCAATGGAAGAAAGTAAACATGATTTTCTTTTAAATCTTATCTGAAAGGGTCTCTATTCACGATTTCTCCACATAATTCCCGCCGACTTCAATGCTCTTTTTAAGGAACCGCACCCACGTTTCAAAACACCCCTCAAATTCCAATTTGTTCAGCTTGTCCACCTGCTCCTGCACAACATCGGTGAGCTCCTCCCTCGTTTCTAAGAGTTTTCCAAGCAAAGGTGCCTTCTCTGACGAGTACGACGTACTCGCCAGCTCTGGCGACATGTGACTTTTGGTTGTTTCCAGAAATCAAGGCGCCTTTCCGTGGAAAACAATTTGAAACGAGGGAGGAGTTCAACGATGCTGTGCAGGAGCAGCTGGACAAGCTGAACAAATTGGAATTCGAGGGGTGTTTTGAAACGTGGGTGAGGTTCCTTAAAAAGAGCCTTGAAGTCGGCGGGAATTATGTGGAGAAATCGTCAATAGAGACCCTTTCAGAAAAGATTTTAAAAAAATCCTGCATACTTTCTTCCATTGGAGTCCACGAATATTCGGTAAGTCACTCGTATATACAGGATGTAATGTAGGAAAGTATTCCTTAGGGAAAGCTGGTAATTTCCCGGTATTCGATTGGGATCTTTGGGAAATTTGTTGACCCGATTATGAATTTTATAAACCAGGAGCGCCTCATATGGGTCATGACTTCATACCCATATTGGAAAATGGCGTGACATGTATGATACGGTCGGCGATAAGAGTTAGCAATGCTTTTGGGTGAGGAAAGAAAATCATATGCAGGCATTTTCTTCCAAAGATGCAGAGCTACCGAATCCATTGCGAGCTCAGAGCAGGCTAATTCTTTGCATGTTCTCCATCTAGTTAAATTGACATCGCTGAACACGATGAATTTCATGGTTATTGTTTGTTCGAACTGCTCGACGGGAAATCTGAATCGTCGAGAAGCAGAAGGTGAATTAATTCCAACGTTAACGAAACATTTTCTGGAAATTCCCGGTTTCCAATGGGAAGCTTTTTCCGACCTGCGGCTCCAGTTTGATAAAAGGTTGCAAAAATTCCTCCTAGACGTAGCCAATCGACTTTTATGAAATTAGCTGATGTGTCTCACGCGCTCTCCGCGAAACTCTAGCTGACGGCTCTAAACTATAAGTGAGGAATCCATTAAAACATAGATAAGACCAGGGAATCCACATGTTTTGAACAACGATATGAGAAAACAAACAGGAAATCTCTCATCTCATCGGATAATGTGCATGCTGCTGCAATACGAGGGCGAGAATAAAGAGAACCCTACCGGAAAACCCCACATGATCCTATACAGTTTTTAATAATAAAAATCGTATGTGATTCCTATAGGAATCCTATAGCATGC